CCCCAAAACCCCAAAACCCCAAAACCCCAAAACCCCTTAAAAATTATGAATGATTGAATCTAAGATTAGCTTAACAACTCAAATACGTTTTGGATAGATTTGGCTATACACTCAGCGTTGCATTTTTGATAACCTCCAGATAGGACCATACAGAGGGGGATATTGTTGTCGAAGGCACTGTTGATTACCAGTTCGTCTCTTTCTATAACTCCATTTTCACTGATATTTAGGCCACTTAGAGGATCGCCTGCCATAATATCTGTTCCTGCATTATAGAGAATGAATTCAGGTTCAAACTCTCTAATGCATTGAGGAATTCAGCGAATTTTATCAAGATAGGAATCATCATCATCTGAAGGATACACATGAAGTTCTTTGCTTATAGCTCTCTTGACATCATGGTCTCCTGGATATATATCTGGACGATATCAGTCAATGATATAGACATCATTATCATCTAAGAAGTCTCTTTCGTGCCCATTTCCCTGATGAGCATCAAGGTCTATAATCATGACTCTTTTAATTCCTCAGAATCTTCTCAGGAGATTTATTGATATTGTGATATCAGGGTAAATACAGAATCCACCTCCTTGGTTACAACAAGCATGGTGATATCCTCCACTGAGATTGATGGCTAGTCCTCTCTGGATAGCCATGAAGGAGGCACAGATTGTTCCATAGGTTGCTCTAAGCATTGGATTTAAAGCTCTCCATCTTAAGACCCAAGCTGGGAGGATAAAAAGTGGCAACTCTACTCATTTTCCAATATAAATACTATAATTTAGAAAGGCGAGGTGCCAAAATGTTCAAGATTCATATAAATAAGCTCTTGAACAAATCAAAGGAGCTAACAACTTTTCCTCTTTAGATATAACACCCCATTCAACAAGATAATTATAAACCCTGCCATATTTCTGAGAATCAAAGGGATGAGCCTTTTCCAGCCCAAAAGCCGTGATATTATACCCTGGACTATACACTATCGGCCACTTCCCTTCAAAATCCTCACCTAAAATTTCCTTCACAACTTCTTCAGCCACTTGTTCCTTACTCCTCACTTCTCTCCTCCTTTTCCAAGCTGCTCTTCTAAGTACAGCTTTTAGCTTAAGCACAGCTTCTTTTGCTAGTGGGTAGAAGAGGAACAGGCAGACGCCTGTGACTAGGGATGAGTAGAATTTGGAAGTTGATGAACGGAATTTTGTTAAGGATAGCATTATTAGAGATATAGAGGTGGTCCAGACAAGACAGTCTGTAAGAGCTTCCATTCAAGAAGTTTAATTTTACAATTTTAGACCAGATTTTGGGGTTTTGGGGTTTTGGGGTTTTGGGGTTTTGGGG